AGTGGTTTTTTTTTTTTTTTTGTGTAGTGTTTGTGGTGTGATTACAATAAGAGTTGCTTAGCCTCGATACAAAGAGCTATATGTAATAAGTGGTTCTTATCTACTGTCACGGCGAATCAATCAGAAGGGGGACACTTAAAAGCTACCGACGAATGTTGTGTCACGTGTAAAAGACGCCGAATTGTTTCTCTTGTTCCTTTCTTTTTCTTTTTTTCTTCTTTTTTAATTCCGTTTTCCGTCGTATTCCGAAAAATGATTGGTCGATCGTCCAAATTCAGGATCCTTTTTCTTCTTGTCAGCAGAAGAGAGACAGGCGAGAGCTGCGTCGTACGAACTTTTCGAAGCGATTCATCCGCGCACGCTCTGTTTGTTGTCCAGGCGACGCGGATATTTTGAGAAAAAAGCACGTGCGCTCTCGAAAGTTTGTTTTTTACCTTCTTTTTTTTTTCTGTGCAGGCAGTGCGAGTAGAAAAAATCTTGTTGCTTTCTTTTTTTCTTTTTTTTCCTTTTTTTTTTTTCTTTTTCTGATACTTGTTCTTGACCGCTTGCTCTCTCTCTTTCTTCTTCTCCTTTTCTTTCTTTTTTTTTCTTTTTTACTTGATTTTTTTGTTCAAAGATAGTTTCGCGCTTTTTGCAGAAGTATTGGAATGCTTTGTAGTTTTTGTATTTTTTTGCAAGATGAGAATTTTAACCACGCGTTCCCCCCCTCCCCACACCTTAATAATGCCCGCGCAGGGAGAATATCGACTGACGAGCCGGACTCTCCTCCAGGAGGGGAATGCCTGTGAACAGAGAGAAAATTTTCAACAAAAATTCCCTTGATTTCGAATAAAATTATATTCATTTTTATGCACGAGCCTTTGCAACGATTTTTATCACGATAACTCTACTTTAATAATTGTGTAACGATAGTGCAGCAAATTTCGTGCATTCGTATATCATCGATCCTCTTTATTCTCTTTCAACGTATCTATTCAAACGACTCAAACATAACAAATACAAGCCGTCTTGTGCACGTGTGCATATACGAGGACACCCTATTATTATCAACCCTATTTCTCCCGTTTAACTCGTTACGTATTCTTACGTGACGGATCTCAGAGCGCCATAGCGGAGTTTCCTCCGCCAGCATCCCCCAGGTTACCCGAAGCGCTCTTCTCCATGGACGAAAGTGCTCCAACTGTGCCCTTGAATCTCATCTTGGCGTCGTCCCCAACGACCACCGTCTTCTGGCAAAAGATCAACGTCAGGCAACTGACCACGAACAAGATGCTGGGCAACAGCAACGCGATCAGGAACTCCTTGTACGTGTTCTCCAGATTGAAACGGGAAACAACGATCCCCGTGTTACTCTCCGCGTAATAGCAAGGGAATCTAGCTCTCGCGTTATGATCCGACCCATCCTTCCCATACTCGTGAAGGAACTCCTTGCACTCCTCCCTCAAAGTGTTGACGCAACCCTCGAGATTGATCAACAGACGGCTCTCGTTCGCGATGATGAGATCCTGTTCAGGGGGCGCGACCATCCTTGTCTCGTCCAACGGTTTCGTGGCGAATATGTTGAGATAGGAGAGGTAGGTGAAGTTGGTGAGGTCGGTGAGCAGATCCTTCTCCAACACGGAGCCGTTGATGCAATCGACAGCCTCGACACCGAGGGTCGAGTTGAATATCCCGTAACACGAAGCCATCATCACGTCCCCACGATCCTCGTGCCATATTTCCCGATTCGTCTGCACGTCTATAGCTCTCTCGCATTGGCTCAGATAAACCTTGTCACCTGTCAACAGGATCATGTTCTTGTTCCTTGTCGGTATGTCGACGCATCTACGGTCGCAGTTGTAAGGCGTCCTGATACGCTCGCACGTCCCACGGTTACAATTGAACAGGCCGTCTATGTCTATGCAGGTTATCTTGCCGCGTCTACCCGAGCACTTCATCGGTGGGTCGGTGTCGTGGAATATGCACTCGAACGCGTCCGTTATGTTGATGCACACCCCCGACGAGCAATTGAACGTGCCTGTCAGATTGCGACACTCGTCCGCTATGCATTTCGATTTCTTCGCGTTCTCCTGATCGATCCCGTAACAAGTCTTGTTCGTCGTGTTGGTGCAGTTGGCCAACAATATCGTGGAACCGTTTCTACGAAGGTTCACGTGGATCTGGACGCACGGGCCGGACGTTTTCGACAGGCACCACTCCCCGCAGCTACCCCATTCACAGTTGTCCGCGTTCACAGCGCGTATCGTCGTGCACATCACTGGCACCTCGCTTATACCCGATTGAAACGCCCTTGTGCTCGGCATGTAGATGGCCACGGTTAGGTAGACCAGGGCGACGGAGGAGAGGACCGCCGTCATCTGGCAGATGCAAATCGTCCCGCATATCCGGCCGTCCTGCGGCGGGATCACCAAGTTCTCCACTGGCACTTGCTTAGGCATCTCTTCGATTCGATCACCAACGGATGTCGAGGGAACGATTTGTAATATCCTGCTAAGGTTTACATCGTTACTCGCTTCGTTCGGTTACTCTTCCGAAAGCTCTCTCTCTCTCTTTCTTTCTTTCTCTCTTAGACTTGGAAGAGATCGAAGCTAAGAGGTGTGCACTGTCGAGAGGTGTGCATCGACGTTCTATCGATACATAGAGGGGTTTTTTTATAGGTTTGGTAGACGATCGTACGTACCGCCGACGATCCCTTCCATGGAAGCAAGTGGTTCGAATCGGTTAATCAACAGTCCTCCATTGTAACGTTTGTTTGCTCCAGCTGTCGGTCGATCGATCTCTGCCTACTCCCTTGTTTGTTTTATGGTTACAACACTGGCTTGTGGTCCCTTGGCGAAAGAGCGGATGGAGCTTCCACCGATTTCAAGAAGGATGTTAAGAAAAGGGGCTTAAGGTCAGGCTAACCTCCGCATCTCGAGGATATTCGCGTCAGATGTTTCTCGCGAATCCGTGGCACCGATGATGCTCTTTTTGCTCGGCAGGAGACGAGGCTGGCCGCGCGCGTGTTCTGCTTTCGTGTTCGCTTTGCGCCTCGTGTAAGGTGCGCGGCTCGAAAGCTCGAAGCGGCGCGCATCGATCGATGCCTCGCGTCTGCGCCACTTCGAACTGCAACGACGCCGTGTACTGCCGCATTTGACGTCATCGATGTACCCTCGTGCCATCGGGGGAGAATCTCAGGTAAAGGATAATCGTCCAGAGATGGCGGGATCCGGTGGATCTGCCGTCGTAATTGAATCGTTCCTTCCGATTGATGGAAAATTTTGATGGACAAGTTTTCTTATCTTCTTGTTATTCGTGTTCTCTCGTTGACGAGGAACGAATGACCATTTAATAATCGAGGCAATTGAATTTTAGATGTCTTTGTAATAATAGGTTGTAGACGATTAATCATTGTAGATTCATATTATGGATTTCTCTTTCACGATTTTCCTTCGAGGATTAAAATAATCAATTTGCAACTTTTCTTTTTTCTTTTATTGATAATTCGTGACTCGTAAGTTTTCGTCATTAAGTCAAATATTTTTTTAATTGTGCAACAAAGTATGGCAGTGTAAGAACGTTGTGCACGGAAATACAACTTATCGTTCAAACTTTATTCGAATATATATATATATATCAAATGAAACTGGGTCGAAGATACATCGTTGAGAATAGATGCATTATTGATTACAATTATTCTTTTAAATCAGAAATTTCAATCTGTTGAATATTCATTTTAAATTTTATGGTTTTGACGAAACAAAGTTTTCATCGAAGATTAAAATCAAGAAGAAACCTCGATTTCTCGTATTATTTCTGCGTCATAAAATTTTACATCAAGCGTCTATTGCAATATCCAGTTTCAAACGTTTTATGGAAAATCATATTGTTATCGTGTATTTCATTTCTTAGAATGCAAATTGTCATGCAATATACTCATTTTAATAATCTATCTTTCGTGATATCGATGCGACGAAGCGTTAACGCGAAAGAACAATTCGGAATTTTTATTTTGCGCTTTTAAAATTAAAAAAAAGAAAAAATAATAAATATGAATCACGAGAGTAAAGCGCAATTAATTAAGGAAAATAATTTTTCCCTTCACGACGCGCAATCAGGTCAGTTTTTCCTTCGAGATTATCGGTGGTGCGCGATACTAACCACCGCAACTGTGACACACTTTTCCTCGCCATAGGGGCTTTCAAGGCAGGTGACACAGTTTGAAGAGCGGGGAACAGAAGTAGAGAAGACAAAAAGCACGAAGTTCAAAGCATAATTAATCGCTTCGAATATAATTAAATATAGAAACCTTTTACCCCTTCAATTTTTTATATCCTCTTAATTACTCTAACAATATTTCTCAACCCGACCACTTTCAATTCGAAAATTCAAGAAACAATTTCTACAGACCTGACTCGTTATCACGACAAATTTTTCTTCGCTTAATTTTCGTAATATATCAGCCGTGCGAACGCAGAAACTCGACAATTGCCGCAATTACACCACTCTCGGTCCACGATCGTGGTACTCTGGCTCGACTCGAAAAAAAAGAATTTTCAAAAACCCTATTTCGTGGCCCTATATCGCAACGAGAAC